GTATCCAGGGAGTATTTTTATGAGAAGAAACTAGTAATACTTATTTTCTCTACAACATTTAAGTAGAACCATAACTAACTTCCCATTAACAATGAGACAGGAATTAAAGTTAAGTATGTTGTTTTACTATCATTTAGAGTCTCTGTGGTAAGCAAATTTTGGGACTGCTTTTCCATCTTTCACATTAGAACCATTTAAATTTGATTCTCAGATTTGTAGTGTTTACAAATCTGGACAAATGCTGTGCGTTTGGTAATACTAAATTCAATGATGATTAATTTTTCATAATCTGCTGCCTTATGCAAGTTTTCATGGCCTGCAGACTGTCAAGAGTATTCTAGGATAGCAACATATCTATTACCAGATTATTTTTTTTCTGGTAAAATAATCCAGTCATTTTTAATGAAATATATTAGACAAAAAAAGTTAGATCAATTAGGTAAGATTTGGTGCAGTGTAAGACACAGGCAGTGATGCAATGCCAACTTAAAAGCAGATAAAAGAAGACAGTGAGTTCTAGATATGATACTTTATCAAATTGTAAAATTTTATAAAACCTTACTAAATTGATATGCAAGAATTTCCACAGGAAATTTACTTTTGAAAAACTGCATTTCATTTTTTAAATTCAAAACATCTCTCATACTAGAAATGCTATTTTACAGTTGCATAAGCTAAATTTTTAAAAAATGATAAAAGACTCACCAAGGCAACATAAATAAGTCTCAAGGCTAAAAAAACTATCCTCCTGCTTTCCTGACTTTACTATAAACATAAGAATCACAGTATAATCCTAGCATCTCAAAACTAGTGTATTGAACACATTTGGTATTTGAGACTTTCTGAAATCAGTTTTTTGAACTTTATTTTACAAATCAGGGGTGCACTTTTAATTTTTTACAACATTTTCTCCCTAGAGATATAATTTAGATATTCCTATCTTCAACGTAAAAGTCAAAATAGGAAATAAGCATAGAAACAGCTTACTGGCAATGGTTACACCTGCATGGTATTTATGAGTCTCCAAATTATTGGAAATTTATTTCAACCAAGGTTATCTTAAGTCTTCATTACTTGGATGTAACTCCAGAGAAAACTAATTTATATCAATTTACAGTTTAGTGGTCATGATCAGGGAAAGTGATACTCTACCACTGACTACAAGTCATTGGAGAGGCAGTTTAGAACTTTTCCTTTATGCCTAATATACAGGACAAACCTTGCCGACATCTCATTACCTCAAGAATCAAATTTAAATGAAGTATCCAGGAGTGGCCTAAAGAATGAGTGTAATCTGGGTGGATTTTAGTCTAAATTTATGCCTTGCTCTTCAGTAAAGTATAGTAACTCCAGATATATGCTCCACAGATGCAATAATTTCTATTCCTGGGTCGGTGCAGAATATAATGTATACTTCCTGAAATCAACTTTGTCTATTCATAAAGATAGCTGCTTTTTATTTGCCTTTGTCTCACTTTGAATATATATAATCCACAGGTTACAGACTTTTCCAATAACTACATTTCAACTTGTATTTCATCAGCAAACATTTGAGAGGATGTTATTTCATAGATTAACTATTTTGAATTCATTGTTGATCAAGTTAGAAGTAGTGGGAAATTTTCTTATAGAAAGCAATTCCAAACATAATGAGCAGATGCTTGCCAGCTCTAATCAATAAGCTGTATGCCTTGTCCTTCTCCCTGTATCTGAGAATCATGTACTGCTTTATTGTCCATGTCCTCATGCAACAGACACAAGGTATTACTGGAAAGAAAAAGATTACAGGATCAGATTTGTCCTTTCCCCACTCCAAAAGGCCAAAACATTTCAACAGCTGTATTTTCAAGTAAGATTTATATCCTACAATATCCTTTGAGGTTTTCTTACTAGAATGAAACATACATTTTAGGAGAGTCAATGATTTCACTGGAGCGGGGAGAAATAGGCAAGTCACAGGATTTTCAAAAAGTATAACAATTCAGGTAAGAATATACATTAATAAATGTTGCCCTAAGTTTTATCAGTTAAAAATTTTTTTTTTTAATTTCAAGGGAAGAGGCTTTAACATGAGAAATAAAATATATCCCAGTCCATTATCTACATATTCTTCATCTTGGCCATGAGGTCTTCCAAGCTTTCACCAGAATCTTCCACTGTTACCTCAGTGACAGAATCTTCTTGCTATTGACAAATAAGGGAAATACAGTGAAAAGAGAACCATATAGAATTCTTGATGCTTAGGAATATATAATCAGTAAGTTTTGACCGTGCTCAACAGGGTTATAAAGTAAATTTTCTTTAACAACTGTCTTCTAATTTTTAGAAGACAAAGTCTTTTACATTCCCCACCAGTCTTTTGATTTACAAGGCAGTAATTTCAATATTCTTGACAGCTCTAGTTTTTTTAAACGACATTGTAGCTAAAACTACCAATAAACAAAAATGAGATCTTCATGTAATCAAAATCTATTATACTTGGTTCATTAATGAGTGAACAAAACCATTTTATTCTATGTTTTAAAAGTCTAAAATAAGCTATAAATATTTGCATATTAACACTGAATACCTCTCTCTCACATCTTAATGCCTATAGCATAAAATATCTTAAAACAGGAAATACTTCACTGGCATTATAAATTAGAATGAAGATGAAAGAAGAAAAATATTTTATATGATATTTACATATGGGTAAATCATATTTTTGAAGTACCTTTTTTGGAATTGTGTATGCCACTGTAATTCCTTCAGGTAAGTCTGGAACTGGACCTGAAGAATTTTTCAATTCCTCTTCTGAAACCTCAGATACCA